TGCGTACCCAGCACTTCTAACCATGGGTGGGGCCTCTGAGGTGGGTCTGAGCCCGAACTTTGCCTTTAAGGCAACAACATAGATGTATTCCTTCTATCAAATAAACCGCTAACTTGGTGTGTCGGTATGTATGTCTGTGTGTATGTATGTCTTTCCATCCGCAAAATGAAGTGAGTGATAAGGCTGCTAATGGAATAAACAAGCTGCTCACAGGGTAGCTAGTCTAGTCTGGGTAGCACCAGGTCTCGCGCTATCTAATGGGTTGTCTCATACTTCTTGTCCCATTTCAATTCAAATTTCTTCTGTCTAAGACCGTTTCATTGCGAAATACGTTAATATGTTGAAGTATGCTTCAAGAGCCTTAACAGAGGTGGTTTCAGAAGAGCAAGCCCCCAAAGGATTAATCTATGTAAGAATCAAAATAGGAAGGCCTAAGCCTAAGCCTAAGCTTCAGAATCTGCTTCCTCCAAATGAACACCAAACCTCACATTGCAAGTGTCATGATACCGCAACCACCATATAGCGCTGGCATCGTTCCATCGGACTATCGCCCCTCTCCCCCCTGCGCCCTGGATCAGCATCTGTGAAATGAAAAGTTAAAGAATACAACCACCCCAAAAACCACCTATTCAAATTCTTCAACTCCCATGAAAAATGAATATTTATTATATTATTCCTCAGGGCTGCTGAAAGTCTACATGTAAAATTTAGGTCGCAGGAGGAGTGGAAAATAGTAAAAGAAAATCATTTTACAGATCAAAGCTACCCAGGTCCATTTTGGCGTGCGTCACCATGTGGTGCACATTGCCTGATATGTGTTGAAGGGACTACAGGCATTTTTTGTTCAACAATCTCAGTGAACAAGATTCGCAATGGTTCATTGAGGCAAAACTTACAAATCCGAGTTTGGACAGGCGGTGGGAAAAAATCATTTGCATTGAAGATCGTTCGTGTACCGTATGCGGTGCCAATGCGTACAGACACATCAGTCCTTGTCGTATTATGTTATGAGGTTTCTCATCAAGTACTATCCTGCGTCTGTAAAAAATGGTTGGTGAGGCTGTTTACTTAAAGATTCTGTTGGTATCCAGAAGGGTCCGATCCCCAAGTTCGCCTTCTCATCACTAACTTATATTTGAAAATCTTCGAAAAGCAAAGAAACATTCAATTTATACGCCTGAATGCGGCTCTGACATATCGATTCAATCATGTGAGCCGTGAATGTTTATAAGATGCCAGAAAACTGTGCTGTGTGGTGCTCACACTTCATCTATTCGGCAGTCAGCACCTTACAGTAACCTAAACCAATTCACCCAGCACATTCGTGCGATACTCGCGAGTGAGGGGAGTGGATTAGGGCAGCTCTCACAACCCACTTAGAGACCCTTGCCGAAATGGGATCACTTTGAGCGATATGAACTGTAGCGGCACATGCCTTCTTTATGAGTCCCCATTCGTCAATGAATTAATAGTACTAATACGAGTTGTTTCACAGTGCAAACATTCATACGTCTGCCTAAAGGCGGATCACGACTAGAGCCAGTAAATTAGAATCAAGTTAAAGGTGGTCAGTGGTGCACAGATGAAGAAAATCTATGAGAACGTCTCATAATCCTAGAAATGGGACCCATTCCTTGCCCTTTTATTTCCCGCACTGATGCGCCTCTTATCTACTGCCTTGCCCTGTGTTTACGCTGCCTCTGCCAAGAAGCTAGAGACCCGTGGCGAGTGGCTAACCAGCAGGGAGCGTATGCATATCCTTCGTCGCGAACAGCGTGTCGGCCGTGAGTCGGCCAGATACCCTAAAGGGCGCATGTATTTCAATAGATGAGGCTTCCCTGCTTCAACCTCTATCGCAAATATCCTTATATTTTGCCTGTCTCTGTTCGAAATCCCAGTCCATTTCAGGAGATATTTACTCAATAAAATTCCAACGAAAAAATAATAAAGGAAAAGAATATGATTCAGATAGTCATCGTTTCCGAGACGTTTGTAAACGCACTTCTTACGTGAAGAGATGAATGTTCATTTGGACCCGTCCTCTGTTCACTCAGGTAGAAAAGGCACGTGCCGATTGTCACCATTGGCCTCACCGCCGCGATCTCATGATTTCCAGCGCATACACTACTTTGTATTTGTGTTCGAAACGCCTTCTTAAACCGTATGGTTGTCAGCTAAAGAATCTGTAGGAATGAATGCCTTGGTCAAATCTAAAACGAGATCGAATCCGACCAAGAACAAATCGTCGGGCACCCATGGTGGTTTCCACATTTCATCGTTTACGCGCCTTCAATCGATGTGCGCGCTGAGGCCACCGTCAGAGTTGCGATCCAAGCGATTCGCGAAGTCTGACATCGGCTGAAAGTGAAATTCGTGAATGAAAATTTTTATTGAATCCTACCAACGAACTGTGACTGAGTTATTGTTATAGTTAGTGATTGAATTGTTACTTGATAGCCAATATTGAAGAATTTCATCGAGTTAATTTATGAAAATGAATAAAGAACTTACTTCATGTGAATTGAGCAGTCCATATTCTCAGAAAATACTCCAAGCTGGTATCGCATTACTTCCAAGTTCATCGTGAACTTTACATCAAACTGAACATGTGGAACAAAATTTCTAATTTTTATTATATGGAAACCGCAATAACATCAGCTTCATCTCCAACGTAGCACAGCAGCATTCAATGATAAGAGGAAACGAAGCCTTTCACGATGACTGATACCCTTACGGTATACACAACGCCGCGCACCCAGCTCCCGTTTAGATTGTTAGCGGCATTTGAATGCGAAATGGTCCATGGGATAGCCTAGTGGTTTACGCCCAAATACAAGTCATTGTTGTAATCTTTCAGTCAGTCTAATAGATACTCTATTTTGGAGGGATGGAAGGATTGGTCGGTGTATGCGATTCTATCTGGAATCTGACCTTGGACCATGCATGTGCTACGCGGGCACCACTTGTTGCTACACCAGCTCCATAGCTGACCCATCTAGCTGGGGTCAACCGTACGTCGGGCCACTCCCAGCGTGTATTTTTTGAAACCTCTGAAATTTTATGGAATTTTTCTAAAAAAAAATTTCCGCTACTCTAATTTCTGTGACCACAACAAGCGCTCATCCCATCTCACCATGACTGTTTCAATAGTAGATACCTTTCTCTGACCGTAGAAGCAGGTGTCTAATGTAGTAGAGCAGTGATGGCGATGGTGGTGGCGAGGTCTTATCAAGAGCCGGTCAAGAGGGTCAGGGTGGTGGAAGCTTTTGAGATCAATCTAATGCGAAGTGTTACCCTGTATCTTACTCTCAAACATATTGCAGCCCAATCCTGCACAAACTAAAACTAACCGCATTGATAAAATCTTCACGAGATGCCATAAAGAAAACAACAGTTGATAGAAGAACAATGATCAGTGCCAATGCTGCAGCAACGATTTTATAAAGGCTGAAATCGAATTATTTAGGTTACCGATTGTTCGCGTGTAAGGCTTCGCATCACAGGAAAGAGCGCTCATGTCCTTGGAGGGGGGGGGGTATACCCAAAATGGGGCCGGTGGTAGGTGACACTAGGGCTAAGCCCAAAAGAGGTGATTACGCTAGGACGAACACAATCGGCTCACATCCTCCTCCAGGACCCCTTCTCTTCCCTGAGGCTTAGTCGTGTGATAAGTGGCTCACATACTGTGCGTCTTTCCCCCCTCCCCTCCAACGGCATGAGGCCCAGGAAAAAAAGCAAAAGCTTCAGAAAACATGTAAAAGGTGATCGTCTGCGAGTAATCTACCAGTACTAGCTTGACCAGAACCTAACCTACAAGAATCACCACAGTTTTGGCGTTCACTCAACACTGTAGACGTGGAATGCGTGTGTGATTCAATGCGTTCTGTTGGAACTGGATTCGCAGCGCGTCTGTGCACTGCCTCGAATCCACTATGTAATTATACGTTGAGTGGCCAGAATAAGGATTACTTCGTCGGTTTTCTTCAATATTCGAAAACACAACCAAAATTTGTTGTCACTTCTCTCAAGAGTGAAATTAGAAATGCGAAGATGGCCATCAGTGAAGAAAGAACAACAAAAGGAGCCACCCAATACACTAGCATCAAGGGCTTTGTTTGTGTGACGCTCTATATGACACTGTGTTTGTTTTCGACCGTAGCACGAAGGAGAGGCACAGTGTGCTGAGAAGAGGAAGTGCGCGAGAGAGCACACTGCGCAAGAGGGCACAGTCGCGCAGACATCGCATAGCGGGTAACAGAAGTAATAGTCAGCACCGGAAGTATATCGGGACTCAGTGGCAGTTTGTTGGCGATCCTAGCATCACTCTTTTCGAGCTAAATGACACCCTCTTTCCACAAGAACATCTCCCCATCAAAAGTTCGGGTCGGAATTAGACGGTTAAAGCTCCCCCCCCCCATCAATTCTGTGCCTGAATCGGCTACCACAGAGGTAATGCAACCCTCGACTTGAGCCGCGCCGTAGTAATTCCCTCAGCCTAGTATTTTAGGGCTATGGCCGCTCGATGTGGGCGTAGGGCCCACTGCGGGAAGTGGTACCTAGCTGGCTGTAGGGCGTGAAATCAGCCGGGTAATGGTGCATTGATTGTCCATGCGTAAGAAGCTCGCTGGACGCAGGCCGGCGCATACGCGTGGCATGTCCGGAAAACTCGTTCGGACATACTTCCTCCCAAGCCAGCCTCCTTCGGTGCTGTTGGGCATTTAGGGGGATGCGGTTATTTCGGCATTGCAAATGATTTATTTCCGTTCTTCCTTCACTGGACTTCCATTTCTCATCTCTGCGCAAACATCCAAACAAAATCCAGAAGCCTTTGACAGAAGCTATACCTAAAATGGATTTTCACGCGATTCGTACATTTTACACTTCTTCACTACTCATCTGAAACAGGTAGAGCAACGTGCCATGCTCTGGGATCATTCAAAAGCTACCGTCGTTCACGACCTTGCTCGTCGTCAAACTAATCTTCATCCAAAAGTTTCCAGATGTCACCTGTGATCGCCGGTGCTCTAATTCTTTTATTTACGGGACTACAGTTACAGGACGACAGGTGGTACAGGTTATCATCTCTGTGAGACAACGACTGTTTCTATGGTTGGCACTATTCGACGATTTACTGCAAAAGTGGTGTGACAGTACGTTCGAATTTTGTACTTCATAAGATTTTCGAAATGCGCGCTAGTGGCGAAACGGGATTTACAGTATCACTGGATAGTGGGACGGCTATTGTTGGAGACAGAAGGTGACCCTAAAAGACACAAAATGCTTGTAATTCTATCGTTTTCACCGCGATCTTCTCACACTCACAAAGCCAGGAATTGAATATAATAATTAAAGAAGTAAGAAATGAGTTTTGGGTACCTTTTGTAGAGCTTCTGCCACCGCAGGTAGTCACCGACAAATCTGTGCTACCTTTGTCTGTACCCCTACCAACCTGCACACTGGGCACGGAAAAGCAGGATACTCACTAGCTCGAATCTTCAGTCATTCGCTCTTCTCGCATTTTCTCTTGAGTCTCGTGCATGCGTCGTCTGTACTCATCCGACGTTGCAGAACCTTGGAAAAAAGAATCGTGCTCCAAGATCAAATAGCATAGCCCGGCCTCCCGAGCCTCAAACACGCCCCCACAGCAGGCTCCGCCTCCAAATTGTTTCGCGAGCAATTAAAGTTAAAACATGAGAACACCTAAGTACGGTCCTACTCACCAAAGAGGATGGCATTTTGGACAGCATAACTATGCCTATTTGAAATCTCCACAAGTTTTTCACTTTTTTCCGTTTGGAAAAAGTGATGCTCCCTAGTTTCCATTCCGCACCAGGGAGTCGGTTCAACTGTCCCGGAGCTCCTTCGTTTCTTCAAAATTGCAGTGACCGTAACCCGTAGGAACTGTATGACCAAAATGTCCTCTTGCCAGGAAATTCTTTCAGAACATGGAGCGCTTTTTTGAAGTGGTTTTTTGTACGTTATAGGACACGCGAAGGGAGCATTAAACTTGAAGTAATTTTCTGAGTGGCTCTGGGAATGCCAACAGAAGTCAATACCAGGGGTTTGCTGTTCGATCTTCAATAGAAACAAATTTTTGCATTTCTCTGATTTCCACATTCTTGGGCTCATATATGTCTAAACTTATTCAGTGAACAAAAAGCTTCCAAAATGCAACTATTCAACGCTACAAATGCTGTAGAGTTTATTAAAAATGGAAAGTTTCACTTCTCAAGGAAATTTTCTGCCCTTTTTCTGGCAATTCCAGGGCCGCTCAGAAAAAATGATCATCAGTTTCATGGTCCACGCACGTGCCCTTATAAGAGGCAACAAATGGTTTTTTCAGCGCTCTATGCCCTGAAAGACTTCCTCGGTTAGTTGCATAGACCTCCAAATGCGTAGCCACATAGAACTATAGTTTTCTATTTCACAAGAATGCTGGGTTGTGAACAAAACTTTCGCCCCAGGCGGGACTAGAACCCGCACCTCTCGCTTTCCGGGCAAGTGCGCTACCAGTTACGCTACCGGGGCACCATTTCATCCCAACTCAGCTTTCATGGTATCCTTATATGTATGTAGTAATATACCTATGTGTACAATATACAGGGGGCCAAAAAAAGTCACTTTGCCATGGCGCATATCATCAAACTTTTCGTCGCAAAGGATGCCGCTGTTATTGGAGTTATACGGCGAATATTCCTTAGATGTCCCCCATAAGCAGAATCAGGCCCACCTTCGCTGCCTTCACCGTCTCCAGAATATGACGTCATCTGTCATCACCGTCGAGCTCAAGGAGGCCTACCATAATCGCTCCATTCTGAAGCTGCTATAATTTCTTCAATCGGATAACTGGTGAATGGCTTCTTAGGGACACTAGCTCTGACTATGCAAAATGGCTTTTGACCAGCGTTTCAGAGACGTCGTAATCGTCTATGGTTTCTCGACGACCTCGTTGAGCTCGTACCGTGAACCATGTTTCCGTGGGAAAATCTTCTGATGTCGTCGGTGTAGAAAGCCCCTATGTAATTTTTTGATAGAATAGAATGTGCTCTTCAATATGCAATTGAGCTCATTCGGTTTGGTTTTGGCAAAGTGTAATTAATTCTGTTTTGAATGAATGTGAGTCAGAGTGACTCTTTTTTTGCCCCCCCCCTGTATATATATACATATGTATATATGTTATACTACACTTCTAGATTTGTTTCTATGCATGCACACATGAAAGTGTCATCACAAAACACACCTTCTTACAACCCCTCCCACTACACAAAGTTCGCTAAACTTGATACCTTTGATATAATCATCGACGCTTCCGCTGCTACCCCTGCCATGATGGTGGTGACCTTCCGGATATCCTGAATTCATTTCTCATGGCTCATTGTATAGATAACGTTCAAATATCAAGGTTCTCATACCTGGGTACTTTTCTTCCTCATGATATACGATACCTCTCTTTTTATGTCGACCGCCTTCGCCAGACACTCTGTTTTTATCCGTCTTCCTATGTCTAACTAAAATCGTTTTCGATTTACCTTCCTCCATTAGGAGTACCTTTTCGTTGTTTGAGATTGTTGTATTTGAAAATTCGACAAATGAAGAAAAATTGAAATTCACCAGTGGAACTCATTTTATTTTCTCCAGCTGACTGACCAGCTCCAGCAGCTTGACCTTCAGCTGAAATCCAGATAAGTTTATTTCTAAACTCTTTTTTTGGAAGCACATTGGCCAAAAATGTATATCACTACCGTTCTATGGAGAAATTGCAAGTGCTCGACTCATTGGGATACGCCATGCACGTGAATTTCTTTCAAAATCTTAGTGACTGACTGTAGTGTAGGCCAGTGCACTGGTTTCGGAGATGGGTGGATGAAGATTGAGAATGCTCCTTCTTTCAGACGACTGTACAGGAGCTTAGAGCCCTTAAATGATGACCGGCATCCGTCCCAAGCATCACTAATGGTAAGGTCAGAACGGCCCTCCACTACGACTCTTCCATCCTTCTCACATGGAAAGGAGGCTTATCGGAGCTGTACCCTCGGAGTGCCTCCACTATCGTGACTCTCTATCTGCGCTTCTTCACCACCACGCTTCCATTGATGCCAATTTCGGCTTCCTCTTACTCTGACTGTTTCAGTCGCTAATTATTGAGATAGGATTCAGTGCATGGCATATGCCGGAAGATCTGAATAACACTTTATTCTTCAGCTTTCAGACATAACTTGCCTTTGCTTTGTTGTTCATGGGTAGCAGGAACACTTGTGCGGGCTCCGGTGTGATCCCCAGTCTTCAGCTTGTCCATCAATTCTGAAAATTCTCATCGATATTAATGCGAAGATGCACAGAAAGGACAATAGAAGGGTCAGAGGATGGAGCGCAATCCTAGCTAAACATCAGCTAAAGAATGGCGTTTCGCCAACGTTTTGCGCACACCCTAGTGACTAACTAAACAAATTCCATTCCCTATCGCTCGTATCGTCAAGCGACCTTATCTTCCACCTGTTTGAATAAGCTCCGTGGAAGCACCAGACAGCTCTTCTACGTTCGAATCAAAACGGTCTACAAACTAACGCTTCAGAGCGCTTCAGGTTGATCCTTTGCCGGACATGCTAAATCCGTTAGCAAAGCTTAAGAAAAAAGCAATAAGACTTAAAGAACCCGAATCTGATGGAAAAGACTGCGCTAGCATTTTTTGACAACGTGTTTTCCTACGTATGAATTATAATTAATATGAAAAGCATACGAAAAGCGCTTGAAAAAGTACACTCACTATCACGATCGAGTGCTTTCTTGGTAACCGGCGCAAATGCTAAAAAAAACATTGTAAGGCAGATAAACGTAAAATTAGCATTCAGAAGGTGCAAAGTGGGCGTTTTATGACAATCGGAGAATCGGGGAACCAGGTAAAAAACATTTGGAGAATCCGCAAAAAATATGGAACCATTTGGCATTTTGGCTATGTTGCACGAGTATCTTATCTCTTGAGCACATTTTCATTGATGCATCTGACTGTTTCCACAGTTTTTGCGAATCCGCGATTCTCCGTTTCTCCGATTCACTGAAAGCGCCCACGCCCTGAAGCAATATCTCACTTCCTTGATGGCCAGTGTGCTTGAGAAAGCCACGCGATCCTGAAACCAAAATTGATCGTTTCAAAGATTCAACAATTTCCCAGTTCATTAAATAAATTCAATAAGAACGCAGTAGCTGAAGTGGCAGCTAGCCATCAAAAGCATCCTATCGCATCGAATCCCGATCAACTTTCTATCGTTCCAAGATCGACGGGGGGTTCGAGATGCACTGGTGTGCAAAACTTAAAGGCAAAAGTCGGGCTCAATAAGGGGGTATTATGGCGATTGAAACTGAGTATAGAGATGCGAAGTGGAACGACAGTGGAGAAAAAACTGAGAAAAACCGTCGACAAGGCCGTTAACAAAACCCTCTTCCCACTAGCATGAAGGAGGCTGGCTTGGGGAAGAGGCACGTACAAACAAGTTTTCTGAAGATATCAGTCGTTCTATCGGTTGATACGGCAATCAACCTAGCTGATTTCACACGTTATGCCAGCCATGCACCACATGGGCGGTCGTAGCGGGGCAGGCGGCGATAGCGCATAGTACATGCCCTGGGCCTTATTACTGCGCCGTTTCGGGTTTGAGTGTGGGAACATCTCTACGGGTGCGTAACCAAGTACAGGCATGACCGAAAGGGTTGGAGGTCAACTAATCCCGACCTTTGCCTTTAAGGACGAGGTGAATTAAATAGCATTACTTTTTACCACCTTCAGGAATTGAATGGGAGCTAGAAGCCGAAGGTCCTACAGTCAGGCATGACAAACTGGGCCTCATATATCATGGGGCTCGCTTCAATCTCAGGTCGGATGGCACTAGCTGCGATTTGCGAAGTGGATAGGATAGGAAAAGTGAGAGTGTACTAATCAGCGAGAAGTTACAGTGGAATGTAGTGGGTGCTCTCCATTACTGCAAGTCTCGGAGACAATACTAGCGCGACATAAAGGCAAACCCCGGGTCAGCCCGACTTGTGGGAGGGATACCGCGAGGGAAATTGTAAGGTCCCTACCTACCTAGATCACTCCAGCTTCGCCGCAAAAGTTGCGCGGTTAGGGCGCTAATCCTTACGGGCCTGCAACCATCGACCCCGTTGCAACGCTTCCCACCCACCTCGATATCGGCGTGCTCTCTCGAACGGCGTGATCTCTCGCGTGTTTTGTCTTCTTTGACCGCCCTGCCTCGCCATCGTTCCACATCCGACCTTTTTGAAGGTTAAGGCCTTAATTTCAGCGATCCCAAAGATTTCTCTAGCTTTCTTTCCACATGAGGCCGTTCCGCAGCTCACTCATCATTGCGGGTTTCATCACGGGGCTTTTCCTTAAGGAGAAATTCACGATAAGAACAAAGGTCAAACAAGGGGAAAATTGCATAGTGATTTCCTTAGGGGGCTGGCCGACGCGCATTGGCAGGGAAAGATTTGACCTCGGCTATCTAGCTCACTCTTGGCCCGGTTGGCGGGGTATGCCCACTGACTATATAACCACTCGCAGCAGGTCTATAAGTCGAGTGATCAGATAGTAGCAGAGAGAGCGTAGTGCTAAAGAGGGCGCAGCAATGCGCGAATCAACGGGCAAGGAGGGGTTCCATTCCTGGGGTTTTGGGCCGTTTCAGATGGTTTCTTCTTCATCCCTGCTCCACTACCATCTCTACCGTTATTTGGAATGAGTTAACTTCATCAGAAATTCTGCCTTTAAAGGAGGAATTCACGATTAGAATGAAGGTCGAAGAAAGGGAAACTGACCTAGTTGAGGGACCCACGGACCTCCTGAGGGTGCGAACTGACGCGCAATTCGCATGGAAAAATTTGACCTCGGCGACCTATCATGCCTCAAAGCTGGCGGGTCCGGCGATCTCCGCCCACCGATCATCTGATCACTCGCCGTAGTTCAATACGTGGCGAGTGATTAGATAGCTGAGAGAGCGTAGTGTTGAAGAGGCACAGCGATGAGAGTCGCATCAATGCTCGAATCAACGGGCAAGGAAGGGGTACCATTTCTCGGGTTCTGGGCCGTTTCTCATGGTTCTTCCTTCTTTCGTGTACCACTCACCATCCCTAGGTTAATTTGAAATGGGTTGCTTTTTCATCGTGAATTCGTCCTTTAATGAGAAAGAAGCATCGTAGAAACGCAAGAAGTGGAGGGTGTGTAACGTGATTGGCCATGTGAATTTGGTTTTGCTCACACATTGCTTTACGCTGGCGTGGGGACCGAATGAAGTACGGCCACTGCAGCGTAAAAAATACAGATGGTCGACAACATTCCACACAGCAGCCCTTGGATTGCTACTATTTGCGACAGACAAGAATGGATCCACGCATCGCTATTTCTAGTCCGTTGCGAAAAACTTTCCACGATGGTACACGCACGTAATTCCCAGCCTCGAAGGCAGCACGACGAACCGCAATAGCTATGGTCCATCTGTCCGCACGAACACTACTGGTGCTCTGTCGAAACCCACGCTCCGCGAAAATATTTGCTAGGTGCCGATACATTGGGAATGGACCAGCAATTAGAAAGATCCGCGTGCTCTCTCAGCTGAGCTCAAATTGAGTATGAGTAGTGATTCTGGACTTCCCCGCATAGTATACGACCAGAATTTGAAACACGTATGGACCCAGGACCCCCGTTGTACATGATTGTTTCGATACTTCTGGCGATTGGTGTGGAGATGCAGAAAGTTGCCAAGGTGTTTTGGCCTCTACACCGACGCCGGTACATTTCCCGGTCAAGATCGAGGTGGTGCTGTAGTCCTTCCTAATGTGCATCTCTTAAGGATGCGCTCGAGCCTGACTTCATTCCAATGGTGGACAATGTGCGACGCCATCGAACACCCCAGTAATAACCTGTGATAAAATGTAATGGTCCCCCCACCCTATGGATGCCCCAGATTTCATGGGGCTAAGTTACAGCATTTGCTTCCGTCCTTAAGTTTTGCACACTAATGTAGTTTGATGAATGATGAAACAACGTTTGAAGTAGCGGGAGCCTCTACCCTTCGCAAGTTGACCATCGGCACTTCCGGGGCACACAAGGGCATGAGAGCAGGGTGAATATCGGTCGAGGATTCCTCAACGGCACGTCGAGGATTTTCGCCTGATCAGTTACGTTCTCCGCGCGGACATTCACACTCGCCATGCGCGAGCCGTCTGTGCTCTCCGCGCGTACGTTCACTCTCGGCACTACTCTCGCACAGTAGAGAGCCATGGTCGAGGAATTCCTCGACCGTTATTCACCCTGCATAAGAGAACGATAGCGCATGAGAAAACGTGGCGTGAGTCAACGTGCGAGCGAGAGGGACCCCGCCACTGTCAAACACTGTCGAGTCGCTGGTACATTGTTTGATCCACTGGTGCTTAGTTTGATCCGCTTGCGCATCGTTCTGACCGCTTGTGCAATGGGCTCGTACCTCGCGATTCGCAGCAATTCAAGGATTCGCAAAGTCTGGCACCAACCCAAGAACACATTTGAGGAGAAG